TTAAACAAACTTCCGAATAGACACAACACTAATTCACAAAATTTAAATGAAAAAGAATTAAAGTTCCTGATGAAGAAACAATTATATTTACCATCTAAAAATCTTTTATTTAATTGATGTTTTCAAAAACAAATTGTCTGAATAATATTTTCTTTTGCTGACGCTCACAATGATAATGGTGTTGAATGTCAAATAACGCTAAATCTGCGAAGATGATTACATTCTCAACGAAATTCCTCTTCATAAATAAACTGCAAACATAGTTTTATTTAATATTTGAACTCTAATTCTTATCGAAGTTGTATTTTGAAACATGATTTTAATTACATCAATATTTATAATAAACAAATATCCCATGTATAGTACCCTTCCCCTTGTTTTTGAAGGCGATTTTTGTATTTTACCCCCGGATACTTTTTTGTATTTTCCCAGATTTTTATTCATCAATTATTTTTATCTCGCAATTTTTTTATGTTATTTAAGTATTATTACAATATTGAAGTTTATTAGAAATAAACTTTTTCCACTTTATTCCAGTCGTTTTTATAAGCAAGCTGTTGTTCTTCATACACATTATCGCAGAAAATTCTTTATTTTAATCTGTTATACAGTCAGCGCGGAAATTAATGATGGTTAGTTTTTTTAAAAGAAAAGAGAAGTTTTTAAAGAATTACACAAAAAAATTATTTCATGATTTTTATTTTATAAATAATATATATAACAATTCATTAAGCCGAACATTTTTACTTAATAGACAAAGACTCGTTAACTTAGTGTTAGTAAAATTTCGCGTACATTTCGGGATAGAAGATGCCATGTACCGGTACATGTATTTTTCACACCAACCTTTTTTAGGAGGATGGTACGTAAAAACTTTCTCGTCAATACTTTCCGTGCGGACTATTATTTTCATTGATTGAAATTTTGCAAAACAATTACGGGCAGCAAGCTTACTCGTCGCAACTATCTAATTGGTTGTCACAACTAGTTGAGACACCATCTCAGATATCTTTCTAGTATACGAAAATATTATTTGTTAATCTTTCGTAGTCAAACCCAAATTGTCTTCTGACCTATCTTTTGCAACAGAGATTCCATAGTGTTTAAACGAATTTTTAATTAGCTTGGTGTTAACAGACTCCCATGCAATTTTTGCCCATCCCGCAGGCAAGGTATATGACAGTTTCTGATACGTCCCGAAGTAGTAAATTCATTGACACCCATCGAGTTATATTGTACACGTACCTTTTTTTTAAAAAAAATATTAAACAATATAATTTCGATGTTAAACCACCAGACCAGATATAACAGCAGAATCGTGTTTTTCTGCAAACTGAAATTTAACTGAATCAACTAAATATGCAAAATAAATCAAAGTCTAAAAAGGAGCGAGGGTTACTGAAAGATTACAATTTTGTCCAAATATTCTTGATCCACTATGACATCTCTTTTCATTCATCATCAATTTCGTTTACCAAATATATACACCATTTGGAAAGTTTTCTTAAGACATGTTTTTTAATTTAAAAATACATATATAAGGTAAATTTGTTCCATCAACCATGTCAAAATAATAGTGAAGCTTTTTTAGTATGAATACTGATTTTATTAGTCCCGCTTTTTCGATTGTTGCCAGATTAGATAAATTGTGTTTCATTCATATTGATATTGCCTATTAACGTTAAATACATGTATCGTGTTATATAAAAAATTTTGTTGTTCCTCTTCCAAGTCTACAGATAAAGGCAGTGTGCAAACGCTGGTTGGATAATTCATATCGATATCGTCCCAAATCCATTAAGCCAGTAGCTATTTAAAGTTTAAAATGTTGTTTGATGTTTAAAGAGTGTCATCTTTTTGCAACCTAATCGAGTACAGTCAACTCGCTCTATTATCAACAAATATCTCTTTATTATTGCCGACAAATTTCACTTGGATTAATATATTGACACTAACTCTAACCTCTGAGTTATCAACCCTCTTATATATCAACAAAATGCCTGGTCCCGTCATGTTGACAATCGAGAGAATTAAGGATATTTTAGTAATCTGTTTTCATTGGTTTTGGATTACATGTACCATTGTCGAAATTGTTTGCATTGAACGTTACACTTCTTACATGCTTTCATTTTTTATAATATCGATATGTAAGAGTCATTAGCAATATCGATATAAATCATCGTTTTTTAAATAAAATATTGCCATAATCACTAATAAACTCAAAGATGGCATCTAAAACTTCGAATACTTATGACTGTAGTAAATGTGAAGATTGTGAATACGATTACTATTGCAAAGCGTGGTTAGTTCACAATATTCATAACGATAATTGTAGTAGTAATTGTCAACTATGGGTTACTGCGATGAGTGTTCAGTTCACAATACTCATGATTGTAGTAAATGTATCAAATGTCAAAAACAAGTACCGTAAAGTCGAACATAGGTACCGGGGGTATTTCCATAATTCAATTTGGTACTTCTATAGAGGGGGTATACTGTATTGATAGGGGTACTTATGTCGGGCTGAAAGATCTCTAAGTTGCTTCCAAAGACTCAATCTTCTTGAACAGGACAACGGCTCTAGGGTTGAATCTAACGGCTTGTTGATTGGGTTTTTGGACGCTTTTTTTTCTTCAAATTTGTCTTGTAAAAATTATACTGTACAACGCTCTCCTGTATCTAATACCGGGTATAAAACACAATCTGGCCTTTAAAAATGGTGAGAGGTACATCTCATGGGGGTACCTATGTCCGACATTTACGGTACTGTGTTGGATGTTTTCGCTGTCACAAACGAATTTGAATGATCTAAAGGAAACAAAGATGTCGACAGTCTAATAAATGAATGCGACAGAATTGCTGGTGAAATTAATAGTTCATTCGAATAGATCCCTTTTGAAAGCTTTATCAATGTTGAATATCTTGCTTTGAATCAATTTATAAAGCCTGATTGGACGATCCATAACCGGAGGTCTTGGAACCATGGAGAGAATAGATTTAAACGGAAGGGGAAATGCTAAGTTGTGTTGAAATCATTACACAATTCAAAGAAAATTACATTCGAGTTTATAAACGAGGTAAAATGAACACCTTTTAAAGTGTAGGCATATTGCTTTTGTGATTTTCAATATAATTAACTTTATCAAAATTAGACTCAGACTACTCGAAAATGTGGCGGGAATAGCTATGGAATAAATTAATACAGAATACAGTGCTCGTCAGAAGTAACCTACCCCATAACTTATTATAGTACCCTCCTTTGTAGAAAATGCAAACTTTAATACAGTCCAATTTTTTTTTAGTAAAACCAATTGTTTTTCTCCTAAATAATAAATTAAAATTCACAATAAAATTTCTTAAACACTTTAGTTACTAATTCAATAGTATTGAGGTTAAATTAAAGTCTAAATTTTCTCGCGGGAGAGTATATTAGTAATATGACAAGTTAACGATGACAATTTTACAAACGTACGTAATAAACGAAAATGACAACTCGAAAATAAAATATATATGTAATAATGCGCTAGGATTAAGAACGTAATAAATTTGTTTTTATGTTATAAGCGTATACAGTCTGCCCTCTCTATTATCAACCTCTTTAATATCAACACCTCTTTATTATCAAAATTTATTGCAGAACAAATTTCACTTGGACTAATATATTAATATTAACTCCTGAGTTGTCAACCCTCTTATATATTAACAATAGGTTAAATAATAGTATAAAATGCAACTTATCATTTTGCCTCAATATTGCCCAGGTAAAACAAATCTTTTCGACGTTAGCTTTCCATGTTTATTAATATAGCAACACTAGACGAAATTTTGAGTTTACATTAAAAAAAATTCTATGGGCTATTAATTCTATTCATCATCTCACACGAATACATCGTTATACACAGTCAACGTCGATATAACGGACTATTTTTCTGAACCGGCTATAAATAACATTATATTAATTTTTCCTGTTATAGCGGATCCGTCGATTTACCGGACAGCATGGCAGGAACGGAGGGTCCGTTATATCGACGTTGACTATACTCTTAATATCAATATGATTTAGAAGAGCTTTATTATTTACACACAAATAGGAGCTCATTCTCTGATATAAAGGCTTCTATTATGCGTTTGTTTCATTTTAATACATAACGATAAACTAAGGAGATTATCGGTTAAATGTCAGAATGATAATAAAGATAATTCAAATATCCAAAATAAAATAAAAGCAACCATACAATTGCAGTATATAACGTCCGTTATGATGAGAATAAGCATTTAGATAGTTAACAGAGAGTGGCTACGAAAAAGACATTGTCACCAGCCAATCCAGTCGAAATAATTTTTACCAAGTAAATTATTTTTATTTTTAAGTATTACTGATTTATACACAATTTTATTTTACTGTTTTCACCTTCTATCTTTTTGTTATAAGTAAATTAAATTAAATCCTTCTTTTTGCCCATATCAAATAAAGGTTTCAACACATTTCCAGATAGCAATTTTCGATGCTCTGTTTCTATATAATTGGTAAAAATGTTTCAAACTAATTAAAAACTCATTTATTATGAGATGGTTAGATAAATTGGGTTATATTATCAATTACAGGTTCTGTTATCATAAAACTTTTATTTCCTCATTGAGAGAAGAGCAATTATAAAGATCAAGTCCTTGCATATCAAAAGCATTTTTTATTTCATTTCATGTAAACAAAGTAAGTTGCTTTAGCATACACAATAATAAAAATAACTACTTATCCTAATACATAAATATAGATTCAGATATATTTAAATAATAACTACCCGAATTCTTTTAATTAAAATAAATATCCCTGAAAATTTTGTGAAAACGTTTAACAGATTCCTCAAAGATTTCATTCAAGACATTTAGAAAAAAGAACTACATGTATAGAGATCTAGAGGAAAAAAATTTTCTGTGCTTTCCAAAGCTGAATGATATTCATTTATCTTTAATGCAATTCCGTGTTCTTTACATTTCTTCGCCTAATTGCTTGTCATAGACGTTTCAATTTGTTGTATTCCAACATCCAAGTTTGAATCTTTTATAGCTTTCAAAATAAATTCTAAATGCTCTTCCGAAATGTATGATTGTGGAAATTCTAAGGATTTAAAGTGTATTACTTTTACTCCATGCAAAAACGTATTGAGAGAATCCGCAGAAAATCGCAAATATCCTGGAATTGAAAGACCAAGTTCATTAATAAATTGGTCAATATCATGATAGTCGTAGAAAATCCAATATTCTGGATAAATCCCACGGTGGCAGATTCTTAGAATTTTAAATTTTCAAAAAAGCTTAATCGTGGTAATAGTTGACAAATTTCCGGAGGTATTGATAAGGACAATGATAAAGAGGCAATAATTTCGAGGGTGGAAAGATTAAGGCATGTTTTTGATGCTGAGTTTAGAAGTTCCGCACCATCAATCAAAGAGATTTTTAAAGAACGCCCTAATGATGCTTTAGAATTTGTTATTTGAAATATATTATAGTTGTAATCGATTGTGATTTCAAAGAAGAAATTTACTGGACTATCAATCAAATTATGACAAATGGCTTTAAATGTTTTGAAGTGACTTTCCGGTGCGTCATTCTTTCGCGATTCTTGTTGATTGTGATAACGTTTGAATTTTTGCCAAGTAATTTGTTTAATAAAAATATTATAATGAAATAATGGTTTTGCTTCAAGTTCGTTATTATCATTATTATCAAAGCAATTTAATAGAGTCGAAATAAATACTGCGTTGGCATTTGCTGAGATCAAGGGAAACGGTCGTCTCCATAATAATGGAATTGCTGTATCACACCAATGACGGTTCACTAACGCAAAACGAAAAAGTTGTTGTCTGTTATTATTGAGTTCATTGCTATCGCATTCTTCTCCTTCTGATACGCAAAAGTATTTGAATATTTTGTGGAGACAAACGTCACAAGTGTAGATGCCATTTTGCTGAAAAAATGGAAGTACGTACATGTACACAAGAGCCGCAAATGGATAAAGGATTGTGATAGTACATGTAGTGCATTTCTCCATATCTGGTATTGTGTTATTTTTCATGCATAACAATGTACATGTAAATTGATTTACACAAATCACATATTAATACATGTACATGTATTAATATTTTTACCATCATTTGGAATCTAATACTCATAATTAATGCTTCTATTGCCAAGAATGGAGAGTATTCAGTTCATAATCATAGTAAATGTGCTCGTTGTCAAAAAATAAGTACCGCTATGGGTGTTTTTATATCACAAACGAATTAGCGAAAATAAATATATATCTACTGTCTAATAAAAGATACGAAGAATGGATTGGGAATAATATTTGCATTATAGTATCGCAGGGTTGAGAACAATTCACGAAGAATTTATGCATCACGATTTTCATCCTGGAAATATATTAATACAGACTGTTTCTATGATTGTTGATTTTGGACTTACCGGTCCAGCAGATATAGAAAATCTGATCAAAAAATTTGCGAGTACTTACTTATATGAGTCCAGAGATGCTAAATGGAAAGCTATATACGTACTAAATCTGCGGATATTTCTTGTTTTGGAATATTGTGTACGAGAATGTTACCGGTAAACGACCATTCCGTGAGTTATACGTCTATAACAAGTATGACCTAAGATCAAATAATGTTTCCTATAACAAGTATGACCTAAGCTCAAATAATGTTTCCGAATGGTACAAATTCATTATTGAAAAATGTTGGGATCCTATTCCAGAAAACAGACCAACACTTAATGACTCTATCTCTAATCGATATCGACGATATAGACAATTGGATGATCAATGGAAATCGAATACTTTGTATTTTCAGTACTACAACTCTTTAGAATCTTCTAAACAGATGAGGAAATTAAGGATTGTCTTAACTAGAAAGTCTGAATCAACGATCTTGATGAGATGTAATTGCAAAAAATTATTCCTACAAAATACAAACAAAAAAACAAAAAATGCATCCAAATGCAGGTCACGTATACACTAATCGAATATTTATTACCAAACTAATTTCAGTTCCAGGTATTTCTAAATATAAATCATATTATTGTTTCACATTAATTAAATTTATATTGAATGCTTAGGCTCTACAAGTGTCTGTTTGTATGTTCCAAATGAAGTAAGCGAAGAAAAAAATCATTATTAATATTGTTTTCAGAAAATACAGTATCAGCAAATCAATATACATTTATTAAAAATGCTTATTTGCACATATGTTGCTATTAATTTGGTATCGATATAGATATCGATGCCAAATCTACAAGTGTCAGTTTGTATGTTTCGAACGAAGGTAAAATTAATTATTTTTTCTTTGGTGGTGCAAAACAGATTCCGATCTTAGTACACGTACATGTATATATCATTTGAGTGATTTGCAAGAAAAACTACAGCCATATGAATCAAAGCTCAAAGACAATGATGTATTGAGTATCTTACAACAAAAACTACGAAACAAATATAGTAATATCAAAAGAAAATACTACGCTTTGTTAAAAAAATGGTAACTTTATTAAATTAAATTGACGACAATAATAATTATATCTTTTTTGTTTAAAAACATTATCCTGAAAGTAATCATTAAATCGAGTTTCGTATTAAAGCATATCGAATAAAAGCAGTTTCTATTGTTTATTAACTTCTTTGTGTTTTCATTATTTTAACAATTTCTGTTACTTATTTATTTCCACTTTTATAATATGTATATAGGCACTTATCGTTATCATTATATAGCAATTGGCATCACATAGTTTTGTGCTTACCAAATTATCATCATTTCTATGTTTATAATACATGTAGCAACATATTAGACAAACAAAATCCTATCACTATCGCTATGTACCGCTACATGTACTATTAACTTTAAAAAGAATATCATACAATACATAACGTGATACGATTTATAAACAATCAATTTCTCTGTCATGAAGATGAAAGACATTCTGTCATAGCGATAGAACTTCCGTTGGTGTTTGTAAATTCAATTTAACTTGGTAAACTAACAAATTATACATGTCTGCTAGATTTTAATTCTTAGCAACAGAGGGTGGTCAGAAGTCACCGAACACTATATAATTTTGGAAGTATAATTTTTAGCTACTATTTTTAGCAACAAGTAATGATTTTTAGTGCATTGGATTTTGCCTTATAGAGACGAAAATTTTGAAAATTATTTAGACAAACGAACCAATCCAGTGTTATTTTATTTTGTAGTTATTATAGTTTGGTGACTTTTAGCCATTTTAAACTTAAGAAATTATAAAAATAGAATACTTAACTATCATTAAATAACATTAAATAATTTTATACGTATTCAGCTTAAACTTAAATAAAATTTAAATCTAATCTAAATCCAGTTTAAAGGTTCAAATTCAATTTAAGTTTAGTTTAAATTTTGAACCAAATTTGAATCTAAAAAATATTCTAAATAAAGATATAAATTATAATTAGAACTACAAATTAATATAAAATAATATTAATAATAAATATTTCCAAAGTTATATAAATTTAGAAATATTTTTTAGTTATAATAAAATGTTATTGAAAGGTGGATTAATTCTTTAACCAAATTTCAGGACAGATTATTGAGTAGGATTTTTTAAAAACTCTGTAACAAAAAGTTATAATTCCCAACCCATCAAATTATAATTTTTTAGTATGAACACAAAAATAATATTCGAGTTCTATTTTCTTCTATTAGTTTTTGAAATAACATTCTATAGCTCAATTTAGTATTATAAATCGTAATCTAAATCAGAAATTTACAAATCTGTGTTCAAAAAAATGCATAGCCACCGCCATTATTTTCGCTGGTAACTGAATGAAACCATTAGAAAGTTGTTGGCACATTCAAATTCTAAATATACATGTTCTATTAGGTTTTTCTGATTCTTCGTATAAATTCATCGAAATTGTCTATTATGTATGGTATACATTCTTGAATAAATTTTGTTTAGTAATGTCATTCAAATTCTTAACGTCAATGTTAATGAAAGCAAATGATCCACAGTAACAGCCAAAAACCAATAAATAACAGATTTTAACATGTTTTATTAGAATTTTATTGTATTTTTTTTATATATAATTAAAAAAAGACTTTTAAGTAAATAATTTTATTGTACTTTTTTATATATAATTTAAAAAGATTTTTAGGAAAAATATAAAAAATTAAAAGTATAAAAGATATTAATTCTGATAACAATAACAATAAAGTAATAATAGTAATAATATCTGAAAAGAAAGACCAAATCTTCCAAAAGAAGAAGTTCTGGTAGTTCCAGCAAATTCTTAAAAAAAAATAGATTGACTTTTTATTACAATTAACTTTTATAATAATATCTCAAAACAGTCTAATAAATCCTCTCGTTATAGTAAATTTTTTACTGATAATCCGGCCGGATGCCTTTACTATAACAAGAGTCACTTGTATATTTCTCTAACACGCACTCTCGCTAGAGAATAACCATATTGGTGAGCTTTTTTGTACCATTTCAACGCCATAAAAAGATCTTTTGAAACTCCAAATCCGTATCGATAACATTCAGCCAATTCGAATTGAACGAAATTATCCCTAGATTCAGCAGATCTTAAATAACACTCAAAAGATTTTTTATAATCTTTTTGCGTCCCAATACCGTGTTTATAACAAATACCAGTCTGGAATTGTCCGTCGATATCTCCATTCTCTGCCGATTTCAAATACCACTCAAATGCTTTTTTGCAATCTTTTTGCGTCCCAATACCATATTGATAACAAACACCAAGATTATATTGTCCTTTACTATATCCGCTCTCCGACGATTTCAAATACCACTCAAATGATTTTTTCTCATCTTTTTGCGTCCCAATACCATATTGATAACAAACACCAAGATTATATTGTCCTTTACTATATCCGCTCTCTGACGATTTCAAATACCACTCAAATGATTTTTTCTCATCTTTTTGCGTCCCAATACCATATTCATAACAAACACCAAGATTATATTGTCCTTTAATACTTCCCTTATATGCCGATTTCGAATACCACTCAAATGCTTTTTTCTCATCTTTTTGTGTTCCTATGCCTTCATCATAGCAATAACCAAGATTGCATTGTCCTCTAGCAACTCCACCCTCGGCTGATTTCAAATACCATTCAAAAGCTTTTTTCTCATCTTTTTGCGTTCCTATGCCTTTGTCATAGCAATCACCAATATAGCATTGTCCTTTACTACATCCTTTCTCTGCCGATTTCAAATACCACTCAAATGCTTTTTTGTCATTTTGTTGCGTCCCAATACCCTTTTGATAACAAAAACCAATCTGGAGTTGTCCGTCGATATCTCCATTCTCTGCCGATTTCAAATACCAATCAAATGCTTTTTTGTCATCTATTTGCGTCCCAGAACCATATTGATAACAACGACCAAGATTAAATTGTCCTTCGGCAATTCCTCCTTCTGCTGATTTCAAATACCACTCAAAAGCTTTTTTCTCATCTTTTTGTGTTCCTATGCCTTCCTCATAACAATAGCCAAGGATGCTTTGTCCTTTACTATATCCCTTCTCTGCAGATTTCAAATACCACCCAAATGCTTTTTTATCATCTTTTTGCGTTCCAATGCCTTCATCATAGCAATCACCAATATAGTATTGTCCTCTAGCAAATCCTCCTTCAGCTGATTTCAAATACCACTCGAATGATTTTTTGTTATCTTTTTGCGTCCCAATACCATTGCGATAACACACCCCAAGATTATATTGTCCTTCAACATCTCCTCCTTCTGCTGATTTCAAATACCACTCAAAAGCTTTTTTGTGATCTTTTTGCGTCCCAATACCATTTTGATAATAAACACCAATATAGCATTGTCCGTTGCTATCTCCTTTCTCTGCCGCTTTCAAATACCAGTGGAATGCTTTTTGTTCATCTTTGATCGTTCCTTCTCCATTTTTATAGCAGTTGGCAAGATTAAATTGTGCTTGAGGAAATCCAGATTCCGCCGATTTCAAATGCCACTCAAATGCTTTTTTCTTATCTTTTTTTATCCAATCCTCATCATTATATAATTTTCCAATTAAATATTGTGCTACAGCATCTCCTTGAAATGCCAATGGTTGATAATATTGCAAAGCTTGATCGTAGTCTTTTTTGGTATTCAAACCCATATGATAAATAAAGCCTAGAATTTTTCTATATAGCATATTAGCTTGTAAAATTTGTAAAAATATAATTTTTTCAGAGAGTGTTTGAGTTTTTTCTAAAATAATAGTGGAAAATTTTTCTAAATTTGCTTCATAATTTTTATTATATTTGAAAATATTGTCAAAAAGAATCAATAAACCATCCATCGTAGTTTTATTTTCTCTGTCAATTTTTTGCTGATTAATGACTTGATTTTCAGCTGCTCTTACTTGAACCGAATAAGTCCAATTCATTTGATCATTTACGGCTGCGGCGTCATCCACGTTTATTCTAAATCTTTTTTTCGACTCTTTCTTTACACTATCTTCGATCGTCAATAGCGATTGTGGATTCTCTTCGCATTCTGGCTGTTGCTTTCTCTTATTATTTGCTATTTTTTCAATTTCTTTAATCAATAACTTTCTGTTATTAATTTCGGACATGTCAAAACTGAATTATTCAAACTTAGCGTTAGATTTTAATTACATGTACATATATGTATACGTGTGACGGTAACACCGTTTTAGTGATCCTCCTAATTCGGAAGGATCAGTTTGGGCCGCGTTGTAGGTCCAATATTTTCTTTTTGTTCAAATGAGTACCCCATATGTACGTTCCGCATGTTCTCTTTTTCTTTTTCTTTTCTATCGGAGGAAGGTTGGCATCTTTCTTGACCGGTAATGTTTCAATCGGCTGTTCCTCGTTGTTGATCGTGTCGTCCGATAGCCCTTTTTCGACCTCTGACAAGGTATTCGTATGCGGCTAACAAAGCAGGGTTAGTTTGATTGGCCGTCGTGGCTGTAGACAAGGTTGTCAGAGTCTGTAAAGTGTCAATTAATGGTTGAATTTGGGCTAAAATAAGAGAGTAGTATTTTTGTTTACAATCACGTTTTCTCCTCCTGGGGCCTGTGTTGTAGTCGCCGAATTTGAGCCCATAATGGCTTCTTTGTTTGGGATTGTATTCCTATTTTGTTGAAAAGGCGGGTTTGACTGGAGATTAGGTCGATAATTATCCATGACTGTCGGGTTCGGGCAATGTCTACGCACATGCCCAACCTGTCCGCATTGGAAACAGACCGGAGGATCTCAGGACTTAGGTTGTTGACTCTGGTTATTCTTTCTTGTTGCGTAACCCGGCCTTCCGACACCTTCCATGCGGTCTAGTTTAGTAGAGAGCTCATTAAGAGCTTTAGTGATGGCTGACAAATCCATCGAGGGTGTCGTCTGAGTTTGATGGCATCAGCCTAGTTACATCATCCAGGGTACCGTTTGAATTGATCTTTACCCATTTTCGAACTTCGGCCTTTAATCCTCGTTTAAAAGTTCTCGTCAGATACTCTTCCGGATAACTATTGTCTGGGTCGACCTTTTTTAACAACTCATTGAACCGGTTAGTATATTCTTTAATCGTGTTAGTTTGCTTTAAAGTTTCCAGCTCGTATTGCCACTGTTCTATCTTCATTGGCGATCGGAACTTGGCATTGAACCGATACTTGAAGTCGTGCTCGTCATGTTGGTCATTTTCCCATTCGGTTATAGTCAGGGCTTCGTTCGTACTTCTTAGGTCGAACCATGCAACGGCGGACCCTTCCAAGTATTCCCGGACCAGCTGGATTTTCCTGTTATCAAAGATGCCGTTGGTTCGGGCGGCAATTTCAAAGTTCCGGAGCTATTCTTCTGGGTCTTGGTTATTTCCTCGGAATTTTCGTACGGGAATGATGTTTTTCTCGATGGGACGATTGTTCCCAGCTGTTAATGCAAGCGGGCTTGATTCAATTTGCTTTCTTTTTATATTAGGTGGCATGTCGGGCATTAATGGTAATTCTGGACGAAAGCCAACGCATCTTCTTTATGACGGTAAGACAGGAGATAAGGAAATTTACGATTCCTGGTTAAAGACAGGTGAAAATGACTTCGTTGATTTTTGAGAGGAAGAAGAGGGTAAAAACAACAGAATTTTACTTGCTTTCCTACGAGTCTTGACAGTTATCTTTCATCTCTTACCAAGTGTCACATACAAAGTCACAACATACAGCGAAATTTTTGATATACGTTTGCATCATATCGTTGCTCGCTCCGCCACGGGGGTTTTTGAACCCGAAGCTCAAATTTACATAGATACTTTGACGGTTCACACTATACCTACAATGCCTACACCAAGACGTACGTATCTGGCTTGCAGAGGTCATTCGTAAATTGATGTTATTTATATAGTGATGTTTTCAATTTCCACCCGATAGAAGATATTTGCCTTACTATTAATGACAGCACATGGATTCATAACCGAGTGGTGAAGGAACACGCTATGTTGCCGCATCTGATCGAACCGCGCTTCTCCAAAGAAGTTTACTGCCATCAACCATTCTCATTTTTTCTTGGGAAACATGAGTGAATCAGCCGGGTATATATTAAAGAATTGTTCTATTTCGATTGATATTTCTGAGATATTTATATTTTCTACAAATATATCAGGACCACCTCTTCGAGCAACCGACACATTGCACTTGACAGCGACAATGACAGGGCTTCAAAGGGTGTTTCCAGCTTTTGATATCGATGGCCGTCCTATTAACATTCAATACCCTATTGAATTCACACATATTTCGCACATGAACTCTATGGTAACAATTGATCTCTTATATTATATTCATGTATACCCATCCGAGTTTCCTTACATCCCACATCTGGTTGAAAAACTATCTCCAAAATTTTAGGTGGTTGGTCATGTAGTAAAGTCCTCTGGGGTGGGAGAAATACATCTGAAGTGGATTTCGGTGCTCTCCAAAAATGGGCGTCGCATTCGTGTCAAACTAGACAAAATGGACGGAGAGGTTTCGCGTTCTGCCTTACAGTTCGGCCTGCATCCCCAGCAGCAAGGAACCGCCACCGTCTCCCCGGTGCAGACTATGGAAAGTGAATACATTAAATTCCTTTGCTAAGAGCTGGTCAGACGCTACAGTTGGAAGCTTCCTTGACGTTGAGTGAAGCGGAGCCCTTTGAATTTGCTGAGTTTTGGTTACATCTGGAACTTGGAAATGTAGGGATATTCAGTAGTTCATTTGTGACCTGGAAATTGCGTGGTTAATATGCATTATGTGGAAGATTTCCAGAATTATTACGATTGAAACATAAATTTTTTATTTTAATCTCAGATCGCCACTCCCTCTGTACCAAGCACCATAATCAAATCAATAATTAATAACGATACATGTACGAAACTTATTGGTCACAAATCTACCAATTTTTTTCTGTTAATGAATAATTCGGATTCACAGTGCAAATTACTAAAAGAATGATTTTCAAATTTAAATCAAATGGCAAAGTCTACGTAGGAAAACACTTTAAGCTTCTCATCAACAGTAATGTTAAAACAAAATGACAAAGTCAGTGATAATTATCCAATTATTATTCTAAAGAAGTGTCAATGATTACCGCTATTTAAATTCTCTTGCTGGATGGTTATTCCACAATAAATAATATTATATGCAATTTACATCATACAAATAGATTGCAAACTAGAGCTTGAAATCAATATTTTTATGCATTAAAATGTCTCAAGTCTAAGAAATCATTCAATTCTTCATCAGCTTCAATTAAATTTGGTCTTGGTCGTGTCATCCGCTTTAATGGACATTCCACTTATTAGATTACGCCATATCCGATTCTTGAACTGAAGCCTGGCCAACGGATTCTTCAACCATTCTTTTCATCGTTTGGAAATAGCTTATGTTACTTTGAATTTGTTGGCGATTAATTTATATTTGTAAATGCTGGATAAAGCGCTTTCCTAATCATTCAACTACGAGAGATTTTATTCCACTTTGCATTGTAGGCTTGATTTCTTTTGAGCAATTAAAGAGATTCATTAAAGGCCAGGGAATTTTTCTTGTACTTAGTAATATTAGAAAAATATTTACAGTGTGTAACAAAAAAACCGGATATTTTATTTTTGGTTATATTCAATGAATATTTAATTCATATAAAATTTAAATATATATACTTGATAACCTAGTGAAAAAGTTTACTTATAAGTATTTAATAGCTTATCTTAATAAAATTTTTCATAATTAATGTTTTTTTTATTAAATTTTTTTTTGAAAAAATTGATTATAAAAAATTTAAAATACTTTTTTAATCTTTTTTTGTTTGTTATTCAATGAATATTTATTTAAATTATATAAATTTTAAATATATATACTTGATAATCTAGTAAACAAATTTACTTAAGATTAATTTGCAAAAAAATAATCTAATTTATTTATAATAATTTATTTAAGTTTTCTTATGATTAAAAATTTTTGATTTTAAAAACATAAATTATAAAAAATTTTAATAAGATAAGTGTTCAAGTAGTCTTAAATAAAATTGTTTATCATACTCTCAAGTATATATATTTAAATTTTTATGTTATTTAAATGAATATTTATGGCGAAAATTAAAATATCCGGTTTTTTTGTTACACACTGTATAATATAGAAATATTTACTTGACTAAACTTCATTATCAATCATTATTGAAACGAAATGGTAACTGCATTCATGATTAAAGTGTTAGTTTATTCGTTCTTTGCATTTATTGAAACAGTCTAGTAAAAAAAGTATTAATCTGTACACAAATTTTCATGAAAATAAAAATTCTTATCGTTTTCACTTTGTACAAATAAGAAGAAATTAAATTCTGCTCGCTTGGTGATCAGATAATTTTTGAATGCCAAGTAGTGTTTCAGGCGAACTATTTTTCAAAATCTGGAACGGTTCGCCCAGTGAACTTTCAGTTTCGCCCTATAAGCCCGAAACTATCCGAACCCTGATTTGCAAGCAAATTGAACGAAACTAGTTTCGCTAATGCCAAGAAATTGAATTTTATTATTGTCTTACTTCAAAAAAACACAGTCTCACGAAGATCCAACGTTATTTTCTTCAAGCTCTCACATAGCTTGAAGATGGGTTGTTCAGAGTCTCTGATCAGCAGAAAGGATGCTTCCGCCTGAAAAAAAAGTGTCAATACAGCAAATTTGACATATATATATATATCAAATTTGAATACCTGAATTTCATTTGATAAAAAATTGATAAAACTACGTATATGTTTCAAAATTTAACCGAATTACACATTAGCTTTGGATATTTACATGTTCATCAATAACGATATAGAATAAAGGTGATAAAAATAGTGATGCGGATAGTAATAACTGAACTGACCTGGACGACATTAACGTTAATCAGTGAATTCGGTTAGACCGGATCAACCGATTAATATTTGTGGTTTTAGAATATGTCGCACTAGCGCTAGAAAACACAGTAACGGTAAATACAAAATTTAATCTATATACAACTATCTAAAGCTCTGTTCGGGTCGGGTCGAATCGGGTTTGAGGTCAACCCAAACCGGTAATTTCGGGTCGGGTCGGATTCGGCTCGGGTTTGATCCGAAAATCGTAAAGACACTTGTATTTGGTGTCTAAGTAGAGTTGTTCGGAATGTAATTGTGTATATACCCACAAATTTTCGTTTAATTCCAATTAATATTGAATGAGAAATAATGATTTTAGGCTGACCCGAAATGTGCGTTCCGTGTCGGATCACGGATTGGACACGACCCGGTTCAGTTATTCCTAAATACATGTAGTCAAAGTTAGAATTGAAATTGTTAACATAAAAATTCAATTATTTTATAATCGGTTCTGTTTAGCAAACGATAGCGATAGTTGGAAAAGGGGATCAAATCTGACGAAAAAATTTTTTGGTTCAATGTAAAATAAATTCGGGACATTTTTACCCTAATAAAAGTTTGCGCTATCATTAAATTTAACATCGACATTATCCAGAGTCGAGGCATTTGGTGCAACATTTTTGAATAAAATAGAACCAGGGGCAACGTTTATTTCTTTTTCCATGTGCTCTGGGTGTTTCTTCATTGTTCCAGTAAGAACTTTTAACTACATCAACAATCTATCTATGGATAACTTTCGCGACTAATCCCATGGTACCCCCCCCCCCGACCATGACAAGAATAGGAAAGATCAAGTTAACTCCGACACCAATTACAAATTTAATCCATTTCTTTTTGTTACTGTTTCAGTCGTTTGATTATTCGTTTTCCCATAACTGCTATTATTTTGACAAGTAATCAATTAAAAATTTTATTTGACAGAGTTTCTGCCGTTTCTCTTCATATATTTCAAAACAGAATGGGCTTGTTTTTGCTGTTTAAAATGAAGAATACAGATTCTTCTGTTTCTATTTTTATACCAAGAATACGCCTTTATTTTTTCTAATAAAAATCATAATTAAATGATTATACAGTTCGGCTAGTGTTTTTATTTGAGCTTGAGTTGATATAATGCTTTTTATTTTATTCAGGCGCTAATCTAGCTTTATGCACGATTAACCAATCACAAAATCATGTGAAAATGCATTGAGCAAAAGAATATTCTAAATCTTAAGGTGAGATGTTCCTTTGCCTGATATAACTTTCGACAAAAGATGTATTCTATACTATGTTGACACACCGTATTCGATTTACTAACGCTAATAGATCAAATGCATGTGTCGGAGGAATCTTGCCGTTACCATTTATCCAAACCTCTACGTTCAGCTAGAAAACACGGCGCATAATCGCTAAAGATATCTCATTTTATAATGTGCAACCATGGATGGAATCTAAAATTTCGAATACTCATGATTGTCTGCTAAAAATAAACATTACTGTGATAAATGATAAATGAAGGGTCTAGTGACATGAAAAGAATGCATGAAAACTAGAAGATTTTTTTGAATGGTAAGATTTAGCAATGTTGAATAGTAGGTTTGAAGAAATAAATTCGAACGAGATGGACATCAATGCAAAGTTATATTGAAATGCCTTAGAAGTAAAAATAAACCATTCTAAAGTGTACATGTATGCATGTTGTTTTTTACGAAATAAATTTATACTGATAGAATAGCTTACAATTAATATTCGAGAGTAATATTGTATATCGATATCAATAAATATTTCGTAAATTCATGTACACGTTCAAAAGTACAATATACGTACGTATGTGAATTCCATTTTTATATATATACCCGACCCGACCCGATTGTTCGTCACAATCTCAACTATCATCCACATGTTTATAAACATAATTTCCACGTGCGTGTTATGCTTAACGTTAACACTCAAAGTTTTAAATAAACATGTGCATTCACGTACATGAGCAGTATATATACATGTACATAAAATGCAGGACATAGCTAACGCGAAAAAACATTTTAGGAAATGAAATCTAAACTTTCAAATACCCATTGTCGTACATGTTACTTCTGCATGAACAACTACTATTGCAGAAAATGTTTGATCCACAACACTCATGAATGCAGTAAATGCTTTCGGTGTGAAGATAATGTGTATTGCTTTGGATGCTCAATTCACAATACTCATGATTGCAGTAAATGTGTTCGTTGTCAAGAAAATAAGCACTGTTTCTCATGTTCCGATTATCAATATCAACTTTATAAAACGGAATGGTCTAGCAAAAATAAAGATCTCGACAGCCTAATAAATGAATGTGCGAAAATTAAACCCTCAATTTACGATTTCGAATGGATTCCGTTTGAAAGATTCACCAGTGTTGAGTATCTTGCCAAAGGTGGTTTCGGGACAATTTACAAAGCATGCTTGCACGACTACGACAGGTGGGATCATGAAGACAACAAATTTAAACTGTCTAATGATAAACGTAACGTTGTGTTGAAATCATTACACAATTCAAAGGAAATTACGTTGGCGTTTATAAAAGAGGTAAAAATAAACGAGTTCTAAAATGTAGGCATACTAATTTTTTGTTTTTCTAATCCAGATTATTTATTCCAAATAGATTCAGATTGCTCTAAAGTGCAATGATGACGCTACTTTAGTATATTATGGCATAACTAAAAACTCAGCTACAAATGAATACTCAATAGTAATGGAGTATGCAAAAGATGGAAATTTACACGGATATATTAACTTTAATTATGAAAAATTAACTTGGAAGGAAAAATTAAGTCATTTAATTTATATTACCATTGAGCTGAATATGATTCACAGAGAAGGACTTGTCCATCGTGACTTTCACCCTGGAAATATATTAATGTATAATGGTCCTAGTATTACCGATTTTGGACTTGCCGGCCCAGCAAATATAAAAAAATCTAATCGAGAAATTTGCGGCGTACTTCCATATATTAGTCCAGAGGTGCTAAATGAAAAGATGTACACTCAAGCTGCAGATATTTATAGTTTTGGGATGATTATGTACGAAATTGTGACAGGTAAACAACCATTTGGCGAGCGAAGTCATGATATGTGTCTCGTGTTAGACATCTATAAAGGAGTACGACCTAAGATACCAGACAGTGTTCCCGGGTGGTGCAAATTTATTATTGAAAAATGTTGGGATCCTATTCCAGAAAACCGACCAACTGCCAATGAACTTAAAGACTTTATCGACTCCATTGACTATAACAATGAGATGCGGAAACTGAACACTTTACATTTCCAGTACTACAGCCATTTAGAGTATTTTAAAACAAATGATGAAATTGATGTGTGGCTTGAATTAGATAGACAGAAAATAAAAGAACTTGATAAGATGAAATTGCAAAAAAGCTGTCATAAAAATACGCATAAAAAACAAAAAATCCACCCAAATGCAGTTTACACCAGTCGAACCTTTGCTCCAAAATTAATTTCCATTCCGAATGATAAAGGTACTTTTGATTTTCTAAATATAAATCACATTTCATATTAATAACAAAATTTATTTAAATATTTAGGTTCTACAAGCGTCACTTTGTATGTTCCAAATGAAGGTAAAATTACGTATTATTATTATATGTGCTACTTTCCTTTGGTGGTATTAGTAATCACAGAATTGGATGAAATTAAAGTGGATGATGGCGTTTCGATTTAATATTCTTCGCTCATTAATTTCTTTTTTTTGTTACATTTTTGGTGGTGCAAAACAGATTTCGATATCGTGACTAGTACAGAATTAGATGAAATTAAAGAGAGTGATAACATCTCGAACGTCTCATCAGAAAACACACAAATTAATGAAATTAAAACGAATAACGACACTTCGAATGTCTCACAAGAAAAACCGCAAATCAATGAAGGTATTCTTTGTTCATTAATTTCATTAATTCATTACCATTTTTGATGGTACAAAGCAGATTCGGTATTGACCTTAACATTACATTGGAAATTACAGAACTGAGAGAAAATAAAGCGAATGAAGACATTTCAAATGTCTCGCAGGAAAAACTACAAGTTCATGATGAAACACTCACAAAACTGCCAATGCAAGATGGAATGTTAAAACAAAATAAGAAGTTTTCAAGAGAATATTGCTCCTCGCTAGAAAAAACTGGTAACCTTAATTTTTATCTATTTACATCATAGAATCACATGAAATTTTATTTATTAACTTAAATGATAAATATAAATTTAGGCTTTACTGAAATCAATCTCGATGAAGATGAAAAAAAATTGAAAAAATATAAAAAATACCTCAAAATACTTTGTGTCTGTTTATAGTACTGTATGTGGTGTGCTAATTGAAAAAGTGTTTCTTTTAATCTTTAGAATTTACAGAATGCTACAGTTAATTGATACACATAAATTAGAATAAAACAGTGTTAACCTTATTAAACTTGTGTGTTGTGATTTTCATGAACATAATTTATTTGAATAGATATATCGATATGAATAATATGGACTAAAAAAGCGTATTATTATTTGAATGCTTTACTTAGACAGTTCCTTCGGCAAAATTGTACATATATTTAATTTTTGATTAACTGGATTTGTTTTTGGTGGCATTATTATTATTCATTTCTTTTGTATACGTGCACTTCAGATATTATTTCCCATGTCCATTTCCAAGTTCCGAATGTCACCGTATCGATGTTCATATTGTAAATGTTTACTGTTCTGTATTATTTACATCATGTACACTAAAAAGTCAAGCTCAGTCCAAAATTACAGTCCCGATCATAAGTAACCGACCCCTAATAACTTTCCGAAAATTATGTGTAATGCTCTGAAATGTTCCGGGCACAAAGAATAACGATAACGAACGCAACTTTGAATTTATATTTTCTCCTGATCCCGCCTTTTGTCATGGGTGTAATGCTTTATACGTATTCTACTAATTCTTTTAATAGACAGACAGTTTATGATATTCAAAATCCCGTACCCGATAAAAAACGCATTCACTACAATAATGAGTATTCGAAATTTTAGAATTCAAAGAGCATTTATGGTATGTAGTGTAAAACTGTAATAAATTACTACCGATAACGATAATAAAATAAAAATATATGCGTGAACTCAAAGAAATTAGAAACTAACTCGAACACAGTTAATATCGATATCGATCCCATGATTACCGTCAGGATTTCTAATGTTTTAAATTCTTAAATTAAATAAAAATTTAAAGTACTGTATAAAGTAAAGTAGTTACCATTTCTTCTTTGACATTGTCCTATTTTGTTGGAAGTGTTTCATCACGAGTTTATAGTTTTTCTTGAAGAACTTTGCATTAAGTTATTACTGGTTTTCACAACAAAACTAATTTTATATATATATATACTTTGCAGTGTGATTTCAGTAACTTTCACCTAGTAAATCTTCTTTGAGTGATCAAGTAAAGTTGTTCATCAAGTATGAAAATAGTTGATTGTTAAATTTGAAGTCTTTTTAAGAACTTTGTGTTAAGTTTGAAGACTTTGAAGAATTTTGTGTTAAATTATTACTATTTTTATAATAATACTATGTAAATAAGATATTTACAATAAAATTCCTTTTATTATACTTTAAATTGTTATTTTTATTATTACTTAAATAATATATTATATATACAATATATTTTATTATAAATATTATTTTGAAATTTTTTTAAAACTATATTAAAATTTTGCATAAACTTGCATTGCAAAATTTTCTTTACAGATCACTATCAGATTTAAAATTTGTACAAATCTTTGAATTCAAAGATCTGCAAAAAAACTGCACTCTCAAAAATTTACTGATGAAATTAAATATTTTTCAATACTGGTATTTGTATATAATTAAAACTTTTAAAATTAGTATTAATTTATACTTGATTAATTATATTGAAAAGTACATATTTATTTTGCTATTATAATAATAAGTTCACTTAAAATTAGATTTCAACTCAATCTTAAAAATTTTGCTATTTTATATATATATGTTGTGCCTCAGATTAATTCTTGTCTCAGATAATAATTAAGATTCATTAGATGAAATATATAATCTGTTAATTGATTATCTGAAATATTTCAATTATTATTCAAGACAAAATAATTATTATTAATATATTAAAGAAAAAGTTAAAGATCTTTTAGATCTTTGACTTTTATTTCAATATATTTATCTTAATATAAAATATAATTTTATTAATAAAAATATCTTTAATCAAATTCTTAATAATTATATAACCAGACTTTCAGTCATAAAATATAAAAAAACTTTAATAATTATAAATTATTAAATAAAATAAAACATATTTTATTAAATTTCCAAAATATTTTTCTTTATAATAAAAATACTTGAATTTGAGCTAAAAAACAGTTTTGACTTAAAGAAATAATTTCTAATAATTATAAAGTTATATAATAATTTCTAATAATTATAAAGTTATATAAAAATTTCTAATAATTACTAAAAATATATATTAAGTAATTTGTCAAGTTTATAATTAAATTATATAATATAATAATCAAAAACAAATATAAAAACAGTATAAAAAACAGTATAAAAAAAGTAAATCTAGATATTATTAAACAATTCATAAATAATTGCAGAATATTTTGCTGTTAGAAAGTCATTATTTTATTTTTTAACTACCAAATTAATAATTACAAGAAATTTTTTATTTCGTATTCAAGTAATTTTTATAATTTATTTATTAATTTTTATTTTTTATATATAAATAAATTTAATTAATAAGACTTTTAATTCAGATAAAGAATTCAAATATATATTTTATAAGTATAATTATTTTATATGATTTTTATAGATAAAGATACTTATTTCTAAAAAAGTAATTAAAGTTACAGCTTATTTATTTAATATTTTTTATTTGATAGAAAAAGAATTTTGTATAAATATTATTAGAAAGCTAGTTAAATTATAATTATTTGTAAAAATTATAAATAAATAATCTAGATATCCTCAATTTCAAAAACTTATAAAATATGCAAATAAAATATTAAAACAAAAATTAGAAAAGTAAAAAGAAAATACTGATTATCATAATTGATCTTTTGATTTAAGATTTTGTTATTATAACTATAAATAGTTTATAATATTAATTATATAAAAAATATCTTACAAACTTGTCTATAGAAATAACTATATATTAATTAATAATTTATTTAAAAGTAATATTTGTAATAAAAAAATTTCAAATACTATTAAAATTCAAGATGATATTATTATAAATTTAAATAATAATAATAATTTAAAAGATAAAATTTATATCTTTTATAATTTATAATTCTATTTTTTTTAAATTTTCTAATTAGTAACTAGATAATAGCAACACTTTAAATAAGTTGACATTTGTTATGATTTCTTTTTTTTAATTATTTTTTATTGACTCAGAATCTTTAAATTAGCAAATAAGTAGTGATATTATTTTGGATAAGTTTACATTTATTTAATTTGAATTTAATTTTTAATTTAACTAATTCTTTTTTACTAACTTGAAAATTCTCAGACAGAAGTTCAGAATCTTCAAATCAATAAATAAATAGGAGCAATATCTTGAATAAGTCCGTGTTTTTTTATATTTTTATTAACTTAAAAAATTTTTAGACAAGAGTTCACAAAATTTATATTAGTAATTAAATAATACTTTGAATCTGATTCCAGAATTATTATATCAATAATCAAAAAATAATCTAATTTTTATTAATATTACAGATCAGATTTCAAATATTATACAAATAAAATTTTGTGAAGTACTATATGACAAGATCTTTAGATTTATACTGAAAATATAACAAAACAAATACTAAAAAAAAGTTATAGATCTTTATATTAGTGATCTTGTTGAGTTAATATTTCAATTTGGCATTAATTATTCTTCTTTTCCTTGCTAAATTATGGACAAAATTGGTAAATAGTACTGATTATACTATAAATCTGATTTGTTATTTATTAAGTAAGCTTAAAGCACTTGAAACTATTATATGTTTTGAACTTAATAAGATTCTATTATGTAAATTATCCATTTAATAAATGGAGAGATTACAAAATGTAAAATCAATATCAAGTTTTATTTTTAATTGCAAGAGTTATTGTAATAACAATAAGATAGATATAAAAGAACAGAAAGAAATTGTACAAGCAGATATAATAGAAAATCATGTTCAAATAAGAATTAATTATATTATTATCAAATTAGAAATTTAGAATTAATACAATTTTCATGATTAATCTAATATATAGGTTTTACATGATTTTTATTTAAAGAAAAAATTTTGGGTATTGAAAAAATATAATTTTTTTTATTGAATTCATAGTTCATTCTTTTATAAATATCATGTCTCAGCTTATGACTAAGATACCTCAAGTAATAACTAAGATATCTCAGATAATCAATTAATAGATTATGCATCTCACCTGATGATTGACATTTGATATATCTCAGTTGTCACCTGAGACAAAAATTGATCTGAGATACAATATATATAAAAGAGAAATTCAAATAATAAAAGATAAAAAAAAATATTATTGTATGCGATATTCTTAAAATTTATTATATGCAATATTCTTAATATTCTTGAAAATTCTTTTTGTTATGTTCTAGTTTTATTGTTTTGCTCTGCATACAAATGTATTCGCAAGAAAATTTATTGTTATTTATATCTAAAGAAATATAAATATAATTTGAAATGGTCGTAACCAGTAATGGAAGTGTTTTAAAAACATATATAATGAAGAACTGCCTGATATGCCAAAAAAAAATTGAAGATTATTATGTATTATAAAGAAAATTACTATTCATGAAACAAGTAAAAATTTAATATCCACCCAAGCAATTACGGGAATGAATAAATAAAATTAAAACATCACCGAAAACTTTTAAATTACATAAAAATAAAGGAAAATCATCCAACCATCCATAATTAGAAGAAGTCTTGTCTGAGTATATTACTAGATAACAGCAATTACAAAATCCTGTTACTAGTACATTGGTGATTATGAAGGCATCTTCACTTGCTCGGAGATTTACAAAATCTATCAGATATACAAAATTTTAAATTTTCAAATAGCGATAGAGAGCTAGAAGAAAAAATCAAAGTTTCTTACTTTTATTTTAAATCAACGTATTCAATACCAGTGATGGTAAATGACCGGGTTATTTGTTCATTTTGCAAATAACCTCAAATGACATCGAAATGACTGATCATTTTCAGTCATTTGAATTCCGGGTCATTTGCAAATGACTCGTGACCAAATAACCAAGGTCATTTGCAAATGACTCGTGACCAAATAACCAAGGTCATTTGCAAATGACTCGAGTTATTTGGGTCATTTTGGTTGGTTATATTAATCTAAGCACATGGTTATTATTTAGTCAAGCAGAAACCTTTAAACATGAAGAGTATGTCATTAATAATTAGCAAATATATTGTTGCACTTATAATTAATGTGGGACGATTTGAAGTTTTTCTGATGTAACAAAACTTTGAAAGAGATTGTTAGACTGTGTAATGTTTGTTTGGTATCTAAAGTCTGTGCTGATATCATTGATTACGTCGATTGGAGAGGGGAAGAGAGAGATTATGTGTTTCAGGTGAGTGTTTGGGGATTCTTTTACTATTGCTTTTTATAGATAAAAGTCTTAAACTCTTAAAAATATTACTAACAATCGTTACTTTTTCTAGACAAAAGCCTTAAACTCTTAAAAATAATAATGACAACGGTAATTACACAAAAACGATTTTTCGTTAACAATGCGATTCTATAAAAACTACGCCTTTTCTGATACAAAGAACCTAACCAACAAGTAATAGATATCTCGAATAATGTAGGGAAAGGGGGAAGAGTTTTACAAGTAATAATTCACTTTTAAGAATAGTTGTACGCAAAGATTCAAGCTGTATTTTGCTTGGAGAAGAATTGTACACAATTTTTATTCTGTTCTTTCTGTAGCCCGTAGGCCATTCTTTTATATATTTTTTTGTATTATTACATGTATGTATCGTTCTATCTATTACTATTAAAGAAAAGAAGCATTACTTTTGCTATATATATAATAAAGAAAAGAACGTTTATGACGGATGCTCTATGATCTATAGAAGAAATTGATTGCAGAATGAATCGAAAACTAATGGAATCATGCTGAAGAATAATAAGGAGATGCTGAAAATGATAAGGAGATGCTGAAAAATGATGAGAGGACGCTGTAAACAATGCGGGAAATGGTACAATTCCATGTTGTATATCAAAAGGGGAAGCTTGTTGTTTTTATCAGCATGTCATCATGCTGTAAAGTCTATAGATCGCATTTATTGATATTCGTGACGAAAATCTGCTGAAAAATCTACAGCAGTGTTGTTGATGTAATTTAGCTGCTAAAGACTTTGCCAGTTTTGGGCATTGTGGACAATTGTAATGCTAAAAACTTTGCTGGTTTGGGAATCTGCAGTGATGGGAACTTGCTGCAACATTGTTGTAAATTCTACCAATTTGGAATTCGGCAACATTAAACATACATTGGTCCGATCCTCAAAAAAAAACGTAATCGAGGAAATTTGTTCGCCGGCGGTAAGAATATGTACCAAATTTGAAAGGATCTTGTATACCGAATTAATGATTCTCGTGCCCAATATCTTGTGTTTCTTAAATTATCGGAAAATAATCTTTTTTTTGCAGAAAGCTTACAATGGGTAAAAAAGGACATAATTTTCGGGAATTTTTTTATCTGGCTGAACCCACGACAAAAAAAGCAAATAAAAAGGCAGTTTGCCTTTCATGTATATGAAAGCATACCTTACCACTTTCTCTTACAAATCCTGAGTGTTTTGTTTCTAACAAGGCAAAATTATGTCGAAACCACCTTCGAAAGTGTCAAAATTTTGAAGCGGAATATAGCATAGATAAGGTTTTGGAGATTCGTGCACAATCAGTACCTGAAGACACTAAAAAAAAAGTAGCTGAGGTAATTTTATTGATTTTTATTGATTAAATGGTGTGTTTTAATCGTCAGCTTATATTTTTTGAAATATAGCAGTAGTGA